AGCAAGTACTCAGAGATTTTGTCACCACCAGGCCTGCTTTACAAGAGCTCCTGAAAGGGGCACTACACATAGAAAGGATCAACCAGCACAAGCCATTCCAAAAACATAACAAATGCTAAAGAGCATCAACAAAATGAAGACTCTGCATCAACTAACGAAAAAAACAGCCAGCTAGCATCAAAATGGCAGTATCAAATTCACACATAACAATATTAACCCTAAATGTAAATGGGCTAAATGCACCAATCAAAAGACACAGACTGGCAAACTGGATAAAAAGCCAAAACCTGGCAGGGCATAGTGGCTCATGCCTGTAATCCCAGCACTTTGGGAGGCCGAGGTGGGTGGATCACAAGGTCAAGAGATCGAGACCATCCTGGTCAACATGGTGAAACCCCGTCTCTACTGAAAATACAAAAAATTAGCTGGGTATGGTGGCACGTGCCTGTAATCCCAGGTACTCGGGAGGCTGAGACAGGAGAATCGCCTAAACCCAGGAGGGGGAAGTTGCGGTGAGCCGAGATCGCACCATTGCACTGCAGCCTGGGTAACAAGAGCGAAACTCCATCTCAAAAAAAAAAAAAAAAAAAAAGCCAAAACCCATCGGTGTGCTGTATCCAGGAAACCCATCTCACATGCAAGGATACACAAAGGCTCAAAATAAAGGGATGGAAGAAGATTTACCAAGCAAATGGAGAGCAAAAGAAAGCAGGAGTTGCAATTCTCGTCTCCGATAAAATAGACTTTAAAGCAACAAAGATCAAAAGAAACAAAGAAGGACATTACATAATGGTAAAAGGATCAATACAACAAGAAGAACTAACAATCCTAAATATATATGGACCCAATACAGGAGCACCCAGATATAGAACACAAGTTCTTAAAGACTTACAAAGAGACTTAGACTCCCACACAATAATAGTGGGAGACTTTAATACTCCACTGTCAATATTAGACAGATCAACCAGACAGAAAATTAACAAGGATATCCAGGGCTTGAACTCAGACCTGGAACAAGCAAACGTGATAGACATTTATAGAACTCTCCACCCCAAATCCACAGAATATACATTCTTCGCAGCACCACATCACACCTACTCTAAAATTGACCACATAATTGGAAGTAAAGCACTCCTCAGCAAATGCAAAACAACTGACATAATAACAAACAGTCTCTCAGACCATAGTGCAATCAAGTTAGAACTCAGAATCAAGAAACTAACTCAGAACCGCACAGCGTCATGGAAACTGAACAACTGGCTCTTGAATGTTGATTGGATAAACAATGAAATGAAGGCAGAAATAAAGAAGTTCTTCGAAACCAATGAGAACAAAGACCCAACATACCAGAATCTCTGGGACACATTTAAAGCAGTCTCCAGAGGAAAATATATAGCAATAAGTGCCCATATGAGAAGAGTGGAGAGATCCAAAATTGACACCCTATCGTCAAAATTGAAAGAGCTAGAGGAGCAAGATCAAAGAAACTCAAAACCTAGCAGAAGACAAGAAATAACTAAGATTAGAGCAGAACTGAAGGAGATAGAGACACAAAAAAACCCTTCAAAAAAAATAATAAATGCAAGAGCTGGTGTTTTGAAAAGATCAACAAAATAGACCACTAGCCAGACTGATAAAAAAGAAAAGAGAGAACAACCAAATAGATGCAATAAAAAATGATAAAGGGGAAATCACCACAGATTCCACAGAAATTCAAACCATCATCAGAGAATATGTCAAACAACTCTATGCACATAAACTAGTAAACCTGGAAGAAATGGATAAATTCCTGGACACCTGTGTCCTCCCAAGCCTAAACCAGGAGGAAGCCGAAACTATGAATAGACCAATAACAAGGTCTGAAGTCGAGGCAGCGATTAAGAGCCTACCACACAAAAAAAGCCCAGGTCCAGATGGGTTCACAGCCAAATTCTACCAGACACACAAAGAGGAACTGGTACCATTCCTTCTGAAACTATTCCAAATAATCCAAAAAGTGGGAATCCTTCTCAAGTCATGAGACCAACATCATCCTGATACCAAAACCCGGCAGAGACTCAACAAGAAAAGAAAACTTCAGGCCAATATCCATGATGAACATAGATGCAAAAATCTTCAATAAAATATTGGCAAAAGCCAAATGCAACAGCACATCAAAAAGCTTATCCATCACGATCAAGTAGGATTCATCCCGGGGATGCAAGGCTGGTTCAACATACGCAAGTCTATCAACGTAATTCACCACATAAACAGAACCAAAAACAAAAACCACATGATTATCTCAATTGATGCAGAGAAGGCCTTTGACAAAATTCAACAGCCCTTTATGCTAAAAACCCTCAATAAACTCGGTATTGATGGAACGTATCTCAAAATAATAAAAGCTGTTTACAACAAACCAACAGCCAATATCATACTGAATGGGCAAAACCTGGAAGCATTCCCTTTGAAATCTGGCACTAGACAAGGATGCCCTCTCTCACCACTCCTATTCAATATAGTACTGGAAATTCTAGCCAGAGCAATCAGGCAAGAAAAATAAATAAAGGGTATTCGAATAGGAAAGGAGGAAGCCAAATTGTCTCTATTTGCAGACAACATCATAGTATATCTAGAAGACCCCATCGTCTTAGCCCAAAAACTCCTGAAACTGATAAGCAACTTCAGCAAAGTCTCAGGATATAAAATCAATGTGCAAAAATCACAAGCATTCCTATACACCAATAACAGACTTAAAGAGAGCCAAATCAAGAACGAACTGCCATTCGCAATTGCTACAAAGAGAATAAAATACCTAGGAATATAACTTACAAGGAATGTAAGGGACCTCTTCAAGAAAAACTACAAACCACTGCTCAATGAAATAAGAGAGGACACAAACAGATGGAGAAACATTCCATGCTCAAGGTTAGGAAGAATCAATATCGTGAAAATGGCTATACTGCCCAAAGTAATTTACAGAATCAACGCTATCCCCATCAAGCTACCATTGACTTTCTTCATAGAACTGGAAAAAACCACCTTGAACTTCATATGGAACCAAAAGAGAGCCCGCAGAGCCAAGTCAATCCTAAGCAAAAAGAACACAGTGGGAGGCATCACACTACCGAACTTCAAACTATACTACAAGGCTACAGTAATCAAAATAGCATGGTACTGGTACCAAAACAGAGATATAGGCCAATGAACCAGAACAAAGGCATCAGAAGCAACACAGCATATCTACAGCCATACAATCTTTGATAAACCTGACAAAAACAAGCAATGGGGAAAGGATTCCCTGTTTAATAAATGGTGTTGGGAAAACTGGCTAGCCATGTGCAGAAAGCAGAAACTGGACCCCTTCCTGACACCTTACACTAAAATTAACTCCAGATGGATTAAAGACTTAAACATAAGACCAAACACCATAAAAACCCTAGAAGAAAATCTAGGCAAAACCATTCAGGACATAGGAGTAGGCAAGGACTTCATGACCAAAACACCAAAAGCATTGGCAACAAAAGCCAGAATAGACAAATGGGACCTAATCAAACTCCACAGCTTCTGCATGGCAAAAGAAACAGTGACTAGAGTGAATCAGCAACCAACAGAATGGGAAAAAATTTTTGCTGTTTACCCATCTGACAAAGGGCTGATATCCAGAATTTACAAAGAACTAAAACAGACTTACAAGAAAAAAACAAACAAGCCCATTCAAAAATGGGCAAAGGATATGAACAGATACTTTACAAAAGAAGATATACATGAGGCCAACAAATATGAAAAAATGCTCATCATCACTGGTCATTAGAGAGATACAAATCAAAACCACATTGAGATACCATCTCACGCCAGTTAGAATGAAGATCATTAAAAAATCTGGAGACAACAGATGCTGCAGAGGATGTGGAGACATAGGAACACTGTTACACTGTTGGTGGGAGTGTAAATTAGTTCAACCATTGTGAAAGACAGTGTGGCGATTCCTCAAGGACCTAGAAATAGGAATTCCATTTGATCCAGCAATCCCATTAATGGGTATATATCCAAAGGACTATAAATCGTTCTACTATAAGGACACATGCACACGAATGTTCATTGCAGCACTGTTTACAATAGCAAAGACCTGGAACCAACCCAAATGCCCATTGATGATAGACTGGTCTGGGAAAATGTGGCACATATACACCATGGAATATTATGCAGCAATCAAAAACGATGAGTTCGTGTCCTTTGTAGGGACATGGATGAATCTGGAGAACATCATTCTCAGTAAACTCACACAAGAACAGAAAATGAAACACCACATATTCTCACTCATAGGCGGGTGATGAACAATGAGAACAACTGGACACAGGGAAGGGAGTACTACACACTGGGGTCTATTGGGGGGAATGGGGAGGAACAGCTGGGGGACGGAGCTAGGGAGGGATAGCATGGGGAGAAATTCCAAATGTGGGTGAAGGGGCAGAAGGCAGCAAAACACACTGCCATGTGTGTACCTATACAACTATCTTACATGTTCTGCAGATGTACCCCAAAACCTAAAACGCAGTAAAAAATAAAGAAATAAAAATAAAGAAAGAGGGTGGGGAAGATACAAGGTTAGTAAGGTTTGGAATTAGCCCCAAGTTGGCCTGGACATTCCAGAGAACCCTGTGAAGTGGACCCTCACTTGTATACCTCTGATGCCACATGCCAGCGGCATCCACAGACAAAGCCAAACACAACTGGGACATCTGCAGACCATCGTAAGTTAAGGCAGCAACATCCCCCAAGACCTATGCGCACTACAAGTTCCCTTTATCCAGACACCAGAATAAAATGAAAGCAATGGATTCATTCTCCTTATTGTGTTCCCTCTGTTGTACATCTGTCAAGAGTCAAGATTAATCACTGCAATTCATGATATTTATACTCAAACTTATTGCAATTCTAAACAACAAGGTTGACATTTCAAGCAGTTCTATCGAGTCGTTTGTCTAGCTCACAGGGAATATGTTTTTCTTAGTGCTTACCATTCAGTAACGTTTTGTCGGGCGTTGGTCTCCCGTCCTCCATTGCTTCAGCCAGAATTAACTTTTGGTGAAGTTGCTCATTACAAGTTTTTAACTCCTTCAGCTCTCCCTGCAGCTCCAAGATCTGGTTCTGCAGCTGGGCCACCACCTCCTGGGTACCAGGGAGATGATACATATTTCCTGATGACCCGGATGGTTTTATTAGGATTGGCAAGCGGGACTTCTTAGCCTCCTGAAAACACACATATGCAGCAATGAATACACTTTGAACACACTTCCTTTGGTTGCACAGTCAACATTCTCATGCCAGCCTTATAAAATGGAATTCAAACTTGCTGCACAGACTTCTGGTTCCTAAAATGGCATCTATGTCTATCCACCAGCCAAAGAGCTTGTATCTTGGCAGGTCCCTCCTCCGATCATCAAGGGTCAAGCTTCTCCTCACCATGCCCCTGTCCCTGGCCCACTATATCTCTGGACAATCCAGACACTCCATAAATGGCAGTTCTTCTTCCAACGTGATCTTCTGGGAAATGTTATTTTGCTCCTTATCTATTTCCTCGTTTTCCAAACATTCCTCAGCCTAATCTAATCCGGCCTACCAACCCTTGCTAGTCCACCAGAACCACCCCTTCCTTCGGTGCTACTAAGCTGTCAACCCAGTAGATATTTCCCAGGCTCAGGTTTCCCAACCTGCCTATCTCAGACATCTTCATTTGTAATGACTCATGGCACTATAGAGTCAACTGAAAATTCATCTCTTCAGCTCCATCCCCATTTCTCCACTGCAAATCTATGCCACTTCGACAGTCTTTGTCTTGGTGAACCACATGATCAGCCATTTACTACACAATCTAGAACCATGGGAATAATTGTTAAGCTTCCCTTTATTCTTGCCACCCACTTTCACCATTCATCAGGGTCCATTAAGTCCAACTCCCAGGCTATCTCTCAATTCTTTGAACTCTTCTCATCCTCCAGGGCCACCACCCAACTCCAAGATGCTGTTAGCTGCAAGTCATGGCAACAGCCGCCTGGGTGGTCTCCACACATTCACTTTTGCCCTCTCTAAGCCATTCTCCATGCTACAGCAAAAAGACAAACCTGCTACTCCTCTCCTCTGCCTAAAACTATTTTAACTGCTTCCCAGTTCTCTCATGACAAAGGTCAACATCCATACCACAAACTACAATGTCCTGCAGGACCTGTGTCCTGAGTTATCACCACCTCCCACTTACCCTACTCTTCATCCACCATGACCTTGGTTCCTCAAAATGCCTTCCCTCCACCTCAAGACCTCAGCATATGCCGACTCCTTTGCCCAGAACACTCACTTCTCCCTACTTCCCCAACTAACTCTAAAGTATTTATTAATACTCAGCTAAAATGGGCCTTCCTCAAGAGAATGGGCCTTGATATCCAACACCAAGGCAGATCTGTCTATTACACACTCACAGTCCCCTACATATCCCCTCAGAGAACATTAGTAACATTTTAATTAAATGCCTGTGCAATTATCTGTTCCTTGTCTATCTTCTGCACCAACCTGTAAGCTCCAGGATTAAGAGGGTTTGCATATCTTGGTCATACTCTCTGTGTAGCTTCTAGCATAAAGACTAGTACATAGTAGGTACTCAACAACTATTTATGGAATGAACATATAAACAATAACTTAAGAGGCCAAATGGGGGTCTCTTTCAACAGGGGAATTTAAAACATTCAAAAGCTGGGAAGGGGGACTTAAATCAAGACTATGTATAAAGAAATATTACAACTCAATAATAAAAACAAATAATCCAATTAAAAGATGAGCAAAAACTCTAATGATCATTTCTCCAAAGGAGACATGTGTATGGCCAATAAGATCAACATCATTAGTCACCAAGGAAAATGCAAATCAAATCCCAATAAAACACCACTACTTCATACCTATTGGGATGGCTATAATCAAAGGACAATAGTAAGTGTTGGTGAAGAGCAGAGAACCTGGAACCCTCACACACTGCTGTTGAGAATGTAAAATGGGTACAGGCACTTTAGAAAACAGACTGGCAGTTCCTCAAAAAGGCTAAACATAGAGTTACCATCTTACCCACCAATTCTTTGCCTAGCTATGTACTCAAGAGAAATAAAGACATTACCACCCCCAAACTTGTACAAGAATAACAACATTATTTCTAATAACCAAAAGTGGAAACAGCTCAAATGTACATCAACTAATGAATGTGGTATATCCATATGGATGTACTATGGAATACTGTTGGGCAGTAACAACAAATGAAGTAGTGATACACGCTACAACATGAATGAACCTCAAAAACAGTATGCTGAGTGGAAGAAGCCAGTCACCAAAGACACATATGGCATGATTCCATTTATATGAAATAATCCAGAATAGGCAAATCGAAAGAGACAGAAAGTAGATTCGTGGTTGCCTAGGGCTGGGGTGGACAAGTTGGAGGGAAATGGGAAGTGATTGTTAATAAGTACAAGGTTTCTTTTTGGATGATGAAAATGTTCCAAAATTGTTGTACAACTCTGTGAATAGACTAAAAAAAAAAAAAAAAAACACTGACTTGTATACCTTAAATGGATGCATTGTATCATATGTGAATTAAACCTCAAAAATATTGTGTGTGTGTGTTTTTTTTTAAGGTTTTTAAATAGAAGAGAAGAAACCCAAGAGGAAAACAGAAAATATTTGGGACCCAAGAAATGAGATCACTGAGGTCTCTCAAGAAGGAAAAAAGAGGAAGGGTCCCTTTTTGAACATTCTAGGATACAGATGCCTTCAAGCGCACTTTCCCATAATCCTGAAGAAAATTCTGCATTTCTAAAACTCAAAAGATAAGAGACATTATCATGCTTATTTTCCAGATGAAGAACCAAGATGTCAAACAACTCGTCTAATGTCACAGTGCAAGAAGGTTCAAGAGTCAGACCTCAGACTAACTCTTCAGGGTCCAGTGCTCAGTTCTGCTCTGAAATTCCAGGTAAGAGGAAAGAGCAGGTTCAAGGATAAGAACAGTTTGAGATGGCAAAAGCAGACCATGTGGGAGGAGGTGGATGCCTCAGCAAAGAGGGCTGGAAAATAAAAATCATTTGCTTGGTCCTCACTCTCCACCAGTCTTTATTCCTGGATCCAAATCTGTGTGTCATATGGCAGCAGAAAAGATATCTGCAAGTGCACAAATGCCAAAGCCAGTTTCAAGCTGGAAGACTGCCGTCAGTCAACCTAATGCTGGTTCTAAAATAACACCACACAAAATGCTACCTTATGGACTCTGAATGGAGTCCCACCTACCACATTATTAAAGATGACACACTGGAACTTCTTACTTGGGAATGTAAGGGAGACAGGAACTCACACACTTCAAGCTCCTACCATGTACTGTGTTAAGACACTTGCCAAAGGCTCAAAGCAGGTAAGCAGCCAGGATCGATGCAAACACATGTATATCAGTAAAGTCCATCCTTTTGTCTGTAACTAAACAATTGGAAGGATGCCTGGTTTTCTTGTCTCTATAACTAAACAACTGGAAGCCTATCTGGTCTCCTTGTCTCACCCTCGGGCTGCAATGATGTTCCTTTTAAAAGGATATCAGAGTCTCCTACTAAAAGAGGTAAGCCACAGGATTATCAACTCCTTGACTACCAAAGACCACAAAGAATATCATTAAATTTCCTTCTACTTTGCAGAGATCATGGTGGTGATAGCAGGGCTCTTCCCTCCCAGAAAAAGGTAGCTTTATAATATCTCTGTCTGCATCTAAAATCAAAATTTCATTTTTATCCCTATCACTCCACTTACCAGCTAGTTTTCTCAGCCTTTTAAGAGCCTGTATTTCTCCACAAGTAAAATGTAGGTAATACTTACCAAATTGATATTCTTGTTGAGAAAATTAAATGAGATGATATATATATATACAGAGAGAGTATCTAGCACAATTCCTAACAGATACTAAAAATAATAATAAACAAATACAGTTTCCTTCCTTAGGAAGATATAGCAAGAGTAATAATTTTAAACTAAAAAATATATATTTTAATATATTTGGGGAAATTAAGTCCATTCAATTTTCCAGTTTTACTAAATACAGAATGACATCTCTCACACAATAAAAAAATGCAAACAAAAAAACAAACAAACAGAAGACACCTACTTTTCCTGATATACAGGTACAAACTGAAGGAGCTGGGGCAGGTGAGAGCACTTCTAGTCTAGCCAAACTATACACATTTGCATTTCTAGTACCATTAATATAATGGCAGTACCTCTTTTTTTTGGTCTCTACTGATATATTTATAAAACCCTTTTCTAGAAATTACAGTTTTGGTACATAATTTAAAACAATCAAAAGCAATTTTGCTAATGATATATCTAACTCTCTTTTGTATGTGCAAAAGCAGTAATTTAATGGTCAGAAAATAAACTTAATTCTCCATTCTGATGCTATAAAGCAGTGTGTACAGTCGATTTCTCAAATACAAAACACCCATCAGAAACAAGAATATCAACAGCCTTCACTCAAGGCTTCACTATTAGAAACACGACCATTTCCTTCTCTCCCAGGACACATCTCCCTTCTATGGGAATTCTTGACCTCAAGCAATGACCTCAAGAGGATTTTCGTAAGGGTCCAATCAAATATTGCCAAAAGAATCTGGTTTTAACCCTCTGGCATATTTGATAGGATTTGCAGGGCTTAGAGACAGTATCCAAGCTGAAGGAAAATCAACATGCAGACATTCACTCAACAAACCCAGACTTTATCATTTCATGCCACCAGGTTTGGAAGGTAGCTTGATCCAGGGAAAGATTGTGGCTGTGCAGTCAGGTATGGTGGGAGTCCTGGCTCAGCCCCTTACCCACTGGTTAACGAAGGTTAACAAAGATCTGGATGTGGCTTCCAGATCATTGATGAGTATTGTCAGGATAAGAGAATACAGACGAAGCCCTCAGAATAGTATCTCTCCTACACAAAGTCTGCAAAAGATAAAACCTAGGTTCTCATCCCTACCCCTAAAGTCAGGTTATGACAGTTGGACTGCAACCTGCAAAAGCAAATTTTCATCAATACAATGAAAACTGTATAAATTTGGGGACATCTCCACAATGCAACCTTATACAGCCATTGCAAAGAAAGATGTTCCTCATAACGTGAAAGAGAAAGCTACAGGCAGATGTATCAACATGACCCCACGTGTGTTTTTTCTAAGGAAAACACATACATGTCACAATATATAGATAAACTAGATAGGGCTGAGATGGAGGAAAAGAGAGAGAGGGAGAGAGGGAAGGTCAGGGAGGACACACAGCTCTAGGCGGAGGCCAGGGTAACTGCAAGCAGAGGGAGACACTAGACATTCTCGTCATATAAATGGGGAAAAAGTGGTGGGATTAAAGGTGATTTTTAAAGTTTTTTGTTTGTATAAAGTAAGTACATAATTAATACATGGAAAAACTTACTCTGTTGGTCCCACCAGGGAAAGAAGGGAGAGCGGCCTGCCACCCAGGCCCCCTGAGCAGGTTCTCTGGCCGATGCTCTGTGCTGAGCACAGTGTTAGTTGATTGCTCGTTCCAAGCCTCTCTCTTTGCTTCATGCTTGAATCTGAGCAGGTCGCCCTCCGTGGCCACAGTTTGCACTGAGGCGTCTGTCAGCTCCACCTTGGGCACTCCACCTGCCTTTACTAGCTGGGCCTCACAGGACAACTTCAGTTCATCACGTGGCTTGGAAAATGAGTTGGTTTGGACAAAATATCTAAGTTCACCTTTTTGCTCAGGTGTCTTCTCAGTTTTACCATCAAGGTGTTCTCCAGAAACTTCCTGCTCTGTCAAGGATAGTTGTCCCAGAAGCAGTTCCTGCAGCACTTTTAGAAGGTCCGGCCTGTTTTTCCAAAAAAGAAGGAAGTGGGAGAACTAAGCTTTCTCTGTTAGGCCTTGTCCCCTAGCCAGTATCCCAAGTTATCCCCACCTACTGTTGCCCAGATTCCATCAAAACTAAACATAGCGTGTACCCACAACATGCCAGGACCCACACCCAGTACTTTATCCTGTGTAACCTCATGACAACCAAACAAGGCAGGTACCACCATGTCATTTCATAGATAAGAAGAGCAGAATTAATCTGATACAAGGTACACAGCAAGTGAATGGGCCACATGAATATGTGAATGCAGGCTGGGCCCAGGTAGAAAAACACAGGATCATAAGGTGTCCATGACAATTACAGAGTCCTCCCCAACTCCACCCCACCAGTCAACCTCCTGGCCCTCTACATCCAGAGGCAAGTATGACTCTAGATGAATCTAGCCAACCTGGCTGGTTACTCCATGACCTAATCCATGCTGGTGTACAACAGGTGCTGAGTAAAGAGGTGTTAACGAAGGGATGTTTGTATACAGGCATAGCAGAAAGTGTGTTGGCTTTGAAGACGGATACAAATACCTTCACATTCTAACTCTGCAATTCTTTGGAAGGAGGTAAGTGCTCCAGCACAAGACAGCTATGACGATTAAACGAGATCATGTATAGACAGCGAATGCTATAATGTGTAGCAGCAAATGCTGCCTATACACGATCTCGTTTAATGTATATTCATGTCCCTTGCCACATACCCTTGGCCCACCTCTGATTCCAGCTGCAGCTGTATGGACAGTTCTCATAGATGTAGTCCCACCTCAAACACCCTCTATATCTCTGGGGTCCTGGGGCTTTTTCCAAAGCACTCTGAGCAAGCCAGTAAATCAATGTGGAAGTGTGAAACAGTTTCCATTTCCAGGGAAACTCTCAACCAGTGGGAGAAGACAGCCATTGAGTAAATGTCTCAGTCTCCCATCCTTCAGAGGGACAACACAGGCACAGTCTATACAGTCCCTCAGAGGGTGCCCAGTGGTATCCAGGTCATTACTGCACGCTTTTCCGCTTTGCTTTTATTCCTGTCTTACTCTCTCTGAGCCCTCATTCCTGCTCCCTGATGTCAAATCCCTAATAAATCCCTTTTACTCTAATCTGTATCTCAGGCTTTGCTTTCCAGGGAAGCAAAACTAAGTCAGCATGTAGAACACCTGGAATGGTGCTTGGGTGGAGCAGTTCAAGGGCCCCTTGTGTGTTTCTTGTGCTGGGCACTATAGTAGGCACCAGGGATATAAAACTGTCCCAGAAGGACACGGACCGGTTTTAGAGAAACATGTGTAAACAAACTATGAGGATTACTGGGCAACTATCCCAGAGTGCCTCAGACGGGGAATGGCAGGGAGAATGACAGGAGAGAGCTTCTAACATCCACGAGAGGTAAGCCTCGAGGGGGGGAAATGGAACAGTCTAAGCATGGAAAACAACATGAACTGAGTCAAGTGGCGAAGAAGGGGGTGAGGCTGGAAAGCTGGGTAGGGGAAAAACAAAGAGTCCTGCACAACACGTTAAAGAAAAGGAAGGCCACTGAAAGGCTCGGTGATGGAGTGGGCCGGTCACACCCGTGCTTCAGAAAGGTGACTTCAGGCCAGGCGTCGTGGCTTACGCCTGTAATCCCAACACTTTGGGAGGCCAGGGCAGGCAGACAGCTTGAGCTCACAAGTTTGAGACCAGCCTGGGCAACATGACGAAACCCTATCTCTACAAAAAATTAGCCAGGTATGGTGGCGAGTGCCTGTAGTCCCAGCTACTTGAGAGGCTGAGGTGGGAGGATGGTTTGAACCCAGAAGGCAGAGGTTGCAGTGAGCTGAGATCACACCATTGCACTCCAGCCTAGGCAATAGAGCCAAACCTTGTGTCAAAAAAAAAAAAAAAAAAAATCAAGAAAGGCTACTACATAGAGAATGGATAGAGAGGCCTCACACACATAGGAGTTCCCCTCATACTGGTCTAATCACAGAGGAATGACTGCAAAATATGCATACCTAAAAAAAATAGTGTAAGATACAGTACAGGGCTCAAAATCAAGATAAAAGTATCTGAAGATCAGAAACAGGGTAGAAAACCCATAGCTGTAAGAAGGGGGCTATTAAAAAGACAAAAATCTAACAAATGAGAGAATTCACAACTGAAGAAATAGAAATAATAAAGCAATCCGAAGAAGATTTTTAAATAAGTATGTTTAAATCAAAAATAAAGAAAAAATCCTAAGAAGAGAGTTATGAAATTGAGATAGAAAATTACGGGAAAAGAAATAGGGAGAAGTAGAGAGGAAGAGAGCAGTTAGAAAGCTATTGCTGACTCCCGGGAGAAAGAAAACACAGATCTGGGCGAGGTGGTGGCAGTCAGCAAAGAGAAAGGAACAGAAGGTCCTCACTGGTGTTCTTTTTTCTTCTCACTTCTACTACCTGCCCTATTTCCAGAAACCTTGTAAAACAGTCAGGCTGCACTCTACAACCCCTTTAACATACTCCGACCTTTCCTTCCTCCGATCTTTGCTGCCACTGGCAATGACAGGCACCTCGTGTTGTTTTCCCCACTGAGCCCTTCAAGGGGAGGGAAAGGGCCTTTTGTATATCCAGATTTCTATTATCTAGATGGGGGCAGAGTCAACTCCATTTAAATTAAACAGCTATAGCACACTGAAATGGGGTTAATAACAAAATTTAAATGTATGGTATGTTTTTCACTTCTAATATGGAATTATCTAGATGACAGAAACAACCTCAAACTTTAAAAATATTTCAGGCATTTCAAGCTTCAGGAGATGTTAAACTAAATTTTCCTTTCCTCCCCCTCTTTAATATAGATTAAAAATTATGACAATTGTTATTTAGCTAGCCAAAGGAGGACCATTACTCACCACCAAAAACACAATAAAACTGAGGAAAAATACTTTACAAATGGGTAGTAAAAGGTGGTGGAAGAGGCCATTATAATACACAAAAGTGGTAGTGCTATTAAACAAAATATTTCAAGTGTCACTTTGCTAGAAATCTGAACAGCAGATTCATTAAGCTATCACTGTAAGCAGGATCTTTTAAATGGTTCAGTCCAAGGGATTTCTCAGAGCTTAAATATTGATTATGTCCCCTTCTTGGGCATCTGTGCCATGAAGAAGGTATAAGGGGAGAGGAACTGACATTTCCTAAGCACTTACCATGCACCAGATCCTCTAAATACACTGAATCCTCACAATAAGACTGTGACAAGGGGACTCCTTAAAAGCCCATTTTATAGATGAAGAAATGGGCTCCAGGATCCCCCAACCAAGTGGCAGAGCAAAGATGAGATCCCAGACCTTTCTGACTCCCAACCATCAGCTGGGGCTGAAATGCTCCCGTGACCTCCAATTCCCCACGCTCCTACCACAGCCCACTGCATTCTCCCTGGTTCACATCACCCAAGTACATTCTCACATGGCCCTCAGACAGAAAGTGTCTTTTAACCCTGAAGTAAAGTTTGGGACCCTTATGTTCAGGAAATCCTCTATTTCTCAAGCACCAACTACTACGGTGATAAGCGAGATTGCTATCTTGTGATCATAAGCAAGATTGCCACTGAGGATGTCTTCCAAGAAGATGCATGCTAGAAAAATACTAGACAGATGTCAGGGACTGGGGAAGAGTTAGCCTTGCTGAGCTTACAAAAACAGAGTGCTTCAACCCGCTATTTAGCTGAAGAAATGCCATAAGGCTTAGTCCATCAATGATATAAGAAATACTAGGGTTCCTGGCTCTTATCAAGAGTCATGGGCAATCACTACTGCTCCATTTCTCTATCTGTTCGGGAAAACTGAAAACTGTTATTGAACACGCACCACACCACATGCCAGCCATTTTTCTTTAACATTTTCTTCTTACTCCCCACAGCAGCCTTAAGAAGTAATCAGAGAAATTGAGGCACTGAGATATAAAAGGACAGCTCTTTTTGGTTCCAAAGCTCAAACAGCTGTTATGGAAGGACTAGAAAGAATATGAAAGGGGAAAAAAATTATTCCTAAAGGATTAATTGAAAAAATACAAAAAGTACTGAATGTTCCTCCTTTTTGTTTTAAGGAAAACCACCTGTAGTATCTCCTCACATAGGAATGGCTCCCAATAGATAGAGAAGAGAACTTTAATTCCAGCTCAACAAAAACAGCAGAATAACAGCTACAATGGTATTTTTTTTAAGCTGTTGTCGAAACTGCAAGAGATTTCAGTAGGGCTGATTCCTCTCGCTGACAGCAAGGCAGCCCTTTCTGGGGCTCCCAGGAATAATTCTCAAAGAAAGCTTTCTTTCTCCTCTTTATAATGGGCTTACATGAGGCTTTGCTGACGTCCCCTCACAGCCACTAGCATGCAGCCTAATTACTTAATTGCATGACTGGCAAGATTCCTTCCAAGCCATTTCAGGAGCTCTCTCAGGCAAATTACACAGCACCATCATCTAAACCCATTTAGCAAAATGAGTTTGTTCTCCCCTAGAACTAGAGAAACAAAGGAATGTCTCGGTCCCATGTCTACCTGGATTCCAGTAACAACGTGGCCTTCTCATTGAACAAAGGGGCAAGCATGTTCATGAACTCGCCTTCTTCTAGGCAGCCAGGTGTGTTGGCCCCATCATAGTCTAAAATCTTAGACTCCGTGTGCCTTAAATATCCATTTTTGCAGCCTCCTTTGGAAAGGTCTTTCATAACCTGCAAATAAGAGTATTTGGTCAAATAATGCAATAAAGAGGAGGGAATGGGGCGCATAGAGAAAGGATGGAGATGTAGAGTAAATGAGTAAGTGCAAGGAAGCCAGACACACTGAGCCAGAGAGAAACAGAAAAGGAAAGGGGGAGGAGAAGGAGGAAGAGAGAGAGACACAGGCATGCAGGTACACAAATACTCACTTTAACACAGGGAGCTGTTTTAGAAAGAAGACAGAGATGCTTACATCACTTCTCCTCACCTATAAAATGGGGATAGTAATGGTACCTCCCGAGATGGTTAAGAGAATGAAATGAGACCACCTCAGTTTACATGTCTTAGTCACTACAGGCGTGCACACTGGAAATGTGTTCTCCTACCCCTACAGCCCACTCCTTGAAAGTTCTTCCTAAGAATAGTATGGAACCCATGTCATTAACAATGATTTGAGTGTTTATTATATTCTTCTTTCAATGTATCCTCCTTATGATACATCAGAAAGCTGACTTACTCTTTACAGACACATATTAGTTAACATGGCTTCAATCTTTCGCATTACGAAGGTAGGGAGTTCCTAATTCCCATGGAGATGTTATTTACAGATCCACCTTCTTGGGTCACTGAAGATCCCAGAGGAGTGGTACCAAAGTTGCATCTAGTTAAAGCCTGTGCTGGGCATGTCTTGAGGTGCTGCAATTAGCATTCTTTCTCCCCTATCCAAAGCTGTAAATTTCTTCTACCAGTCTATAAATAATTCCTCTTGACTTCATTACTGCTGGTGATACACACACTAGCCATCACCCCTAACTCTCCACACTGGCGAAATGATTAAGCTTTTTAAATGGAAGGTAAGACCTACACAAATGAGTTGTTATTTATAGGGTCTTCTTTGCCACCAATCTAGTTATTAAATCTATCTAATAAGCAACCTCCAAAGAAGGAAATGTCTAGAATCATAAAAACAATAATTATTATTTACTGAGTACTTATTACATGCCTTTCTATTTGAATATCACAATCCTAAGATAGGAAGTGTTACTATCCTCACTGATGAGGAAACTCAGGCTTAAAGGTTAAGCACTAATTAACCAAGGTCACAAAGATAATGGTGCCAAAGCTAAGACTTCAAATGAGATCCATCTGATTGCAAAGCCCCACTTTTAATTACTTTGCTTTCTAAAACTATCCACATTTTAAGATCTCCCATTTGTGACTCCACAAAACTTCAACATCCTGAAGGCCAAAAAGCCCAAGTCTGTAGCATGTTACCCCCACCACATCCCAGTCTCTAGGGTTCTTTCAACCTTGGAGACTGATTAGAGTCTCCTACCCATTTTACAAATCAGAGGGTTGGAGACTGCTTGCTCCAAATGTTCATTATCGATGTGATTGGAAGAGCACCCTATGTGGACGGGGGTCAGATTCTCACAATGCCCAAATGACAGTAATGTTGGTTCCAGATGAGGAGACTGCAGAAGGCCCCCAGGGAGGGGAGCTAAGTTCCATCAGTGGGTCTTTACACCTCAACCAAATGATCTGGTAGTTCACACAGTCCAGAAACAAGGGTTCTTATCCCAACTCTATCACTGACTTACTCTGTCTCCTGAATAAATCATCGCGCATCAAAGGCCTCAGTTTCTAAATCATAAAATGGGTTGGATTAGAACACTAAAGATTTGTCCAAGTCAAACATGCAGTGCCTGCTATTCTCCTATGACAAGCCCATTTTTATTTGCAAGTACATGCTTGTTTTCATGTTTCATGACCAGCTCTAACACCCAGTTTATAACTTCTAAGAGGGAAGCGACCTAGTCTTTGCTTTCCACTGGCACATGGAAGGCACATGATATAGGCAAAATGAACAGAAAACCCACTGGATTCATTCCAGACTCAAAGACTGGTTTGAACACAGCATGGAGTAGATGAAATAAGAAGTTAATGGTAAGGTTCCTACCTCATTACTCTGCTGCAAATGCTGGTCACTCAGGAAATTATTCTCGTCATCCTCTCCAGTTTTGATTGTGTCCTCATCCTCCTTGCTAGCCAGAAGCTACGTGGAGCATGGAATGATGTGAAAATGCAACCCAAAAAGTGTACAGCATGAACATGTATGAATAAGTCAGTGATGTCTTTTTTTTTTTTAAAGCAAAACACAAAGCAAAAAAAAAAAAAAAGGAAGAAACGAATGCCAAAGCCATGAAATAAAAATTAACCAAAGTTAGAGTTGCTATTTGTGGCGAATCACACCTAGCTGCCTGGATCAAGTATAATTTAAGGACAAATTCCCCAAGACAATAACTAAAGGCATTTCCCCTTGCCCTTGCACGGCCTTTCCTGAGCTGCCGTAAATTAAATATGCGTCTGTTATGCCACTGCCACTGCCATTCCTGCCTTTGCTAAATTCACTTTTAGATTATATAAAAGTAACAAGATTTTAGAAAATAGCTATTGATGGAATTGAAAATATCAAATAGCAAGAAAGTAATAAATGAAATTTATGGCGTGCCCAATTTATGCATCGCTTCTCCTATTTAGCACAAGGCATAGACCTCTTCTTGCTATATTGTCACACATCTGAGATGGACAGTCCTTGCAACACTGTCATTTTGCTGACAAAAAGTCCTCATCTCTAATGAGAAGAGTATCACGCTTGCCTGACGATAACTTTATGCTTTTGGAAATGAAGGACAGTTATTTATAAAGACTGCATAAATCCCTAATGCTTCAAAGAAGTGTAAATTCCAAAGCCTCTGAGTTCTACAAAATAGACAATACAAAGTTCTCAAGAAAGCCAGTTCTCAGCTCTCTGGAAAAGCAAAAATTCTAGTCATGGGACAACTGAATTAACCAAATTAAAGATGAGAAAAAAGGTGGCCAGTCACTCCCAGGTAAGGAATCAATCAAAGCTATTTCAAAATTACACTAAACCTTATCTCACCAATAAGAGTCTGTCCAGTTGCGTGGCTCACACCTATAATCCTAGCATTTTGGGAGCCCAAGGCAGGTAGACTGCTTGAGTCCAGCAGTTCAAGACCAGTCGGGGCAACAGAGTGAGACGCCCGTCTCTACAAAAAATACAAAAGTTAGCAGGACGTAATGGCGCATGCTGTAGTCCCAGCTACTTAGAAGGCTGAGGCAGGAGGATGACCTGAGCTCAGGGAGGTTGAGGCTGCAGTGAGCTGCGATCACACCACTGCACTCCAGCCTGGCCAACAGAGTAACACCCTGTCTTGAAAACAAAACAGTCTGCGCCAAAGGTGCTGAAACCACAGAGTACTGGGTCATTTGTTGGGTGTGTTGTACATGTAAGATTACCTATGTTCTGGCTCAAGTTTTATTTCTGAATCCCTACATTCAGTCAATTATCCCCATAGCTCTCCAGCTCAACTCTCTGGTTTTCCTTTCAGATGAAAAACCTTGTTTTGGAAGAAAAACAAAGCCAACTGAGTTCAGTTTTATAGAAACTTCTCAAGGTTAGAACACATTCACTCTAACCATATCCAAATGTGTCATCAGGACTGAACAGAAGTGATGATCAAAAACCATATCCTACTATACTAACAAACATGAAACAGACTAGACATGCATAAATATACCTACAGAGGCATAAAAGTTTATAAATGTGGGTAAGGAACTCTTTCTCTTTTGGCTTCTTCCCTCATTATTACAACATTCTCAAGTGATAAATACTAACTGGAGCTATCAAATTTGTTGGTGGGAATACAAAATGTTTGGGAAAACTACTGGCAATTTCTCATAAAACTAATAACCCTGTGATATGACTCAGGAATTCTACTCATAGGTACTAAAATAGAAAAGTACGTCCCAACAAAGAATTGTACATGAATGCTCATAATCACCTTATACTCAAATGTCCATTAATAGCAGATTGAATACTACTTGGCAATAAAAAGGAACAAACTTGATGCACTAACAACATGAATGAATCTAAAAAACATAATGCTGAGTAAAAAAATATATACAAAAGAGAATATATTATATGACTTCATTTATATGAAAGTCTAGGCAAAATTAATCCACAGTGGGACAAATCAGAAGAGCAGCTGGGGTGGGGTTGGGTTTGGACAACAGAGGACATGCAGGCTCTTGATAGGGGTTTGCCTTAGACAGGCACATATACTTGTAAAACTTAGTGAATGTAGGTTTACAATTTCTATACTTCATTTAACTATAAACATTTATTGAAAATATGTATACCGAAGTACTTAGAGGGAAGTATACTGATGCTTGCAGTTTCAATTAAAATTTATCAGAAAGATAAGCAGAGTGATGACGGGCAGGTGGGAAACGTGAATAGAACCCAGGTGGTGAGTAGGTGGGTATTCACTGTAAAATTCTTTTCACTTTGCTGTGTCTAAATTTTTTCATAATAAAATATTGGGAGAAAAGTCTCTCTCATCTTTTTAAAGAAACAAAACAACAACAGTCTCTCTCTGATTCCCCGACAGCTCTGATCACTGAGTGTTCTCTGCCTCTCTCCAAGCTTCTGCAAGGGGTCTATTCTCACCTTCTGCAATGTGGCTTTTAATGCCCAGGAAAGGTTCCCAAACACCTCCTTGTATTAATAGAGATGAAATCCACATGGGGTTAGGAAGGAGGCAGAGAGAAGTTCCTCCCTGACTCCTGAGGATCTGAGAAGGGTTTCCCTTAAGTTTAGCTAAGCAAAGACAGTAGCGTTAACACATCATTCCAAGTTGAAATATCTAAAGCATCAAAGTTATTCTGCATTTCCAGAACCACAACAATGCCAATACTTGATACAGTGAAACAAAAATTAACTTCCATTTCTCTTTACCTCTACTGCCTTGGTCAAAATTAAAAGTAAACTCTCAGTTTCCAGGAATGGTCAAGAAATTAAATGTTATGAACATAGGGAAATGTCCTTCATGCTACATGCTACTTACCCATTTTCAAAGATACAGAACTAAGATGTCAGGAAGAACTGAGTCACTATACCTGGCTCTGCTTCCAGCCCTACTAAAGAAGCAACTAAAAAGCAACCTCCAAGCCTCCAAGTGTCAACTGGCTCTATTCTCATTTCCTCACTTCTCATCACTTCTCTATCCCCTGCACGCTGGCTTCTATCCCCCTCACTCTGATGAAACCGCTCAGGTCATGGGACTCACAGGAAGTTCCCAGTACTTTTTTCTTTCTTGTCTTCTCAGGGTTCGACACCATGAAACACTCCCTCCTTGAAACCCCACACTGCTACTCTGCACTCTACCTGTTCTCCCCCTACCTCTTGAGCTAATCTTTCTTCATTTGCTTGGCATCTCCCCTTCCTCCTCCAGAAAGAATTTCCCTTAATCCCCAAAGTGAGGGCTGGGCACCTGCCTACATCTCCCTTGAGACTCTGCATTCACTCCATCATAGTCTTCACCACACTCTGCTGCAATTGCCCCTCTGCTTCTCTGGATTACATCCTAGACAGGGCAGTGACATGTCTGTTCATAGTTTTAACATCAATGCCTGATGCTCAACACTGCTGAACAAATAAACAAATGAATAAAGACTTTTTTCAAAACAAGAGCTAAAAATAAGTCCTTTTCAGGATTACCTCTAGTCTTGCTACTCAAAGTGTATTCCAGGGCAGTGGAAGCATCATCACCCAAATTTTTTACAAATATAGACTCTCAGGTCCCATCCCAAGCTTACTGGACAAGAATCTGCATTTCGACAAGACTCCCAGGAAATTTACATGCACATTAAATTTCAGAAGCACTGCCCTATGGTGCTAAACACCTCTAAACAGAGTCAGAAGAGGGTTATAGTCCCATCTCTGCCACTAACTTACCAAAAAAAAAATATAAATTAAAATACCTGTTTTACTGAGTGCCTACCACTTGCCAGAACTGTGCCAAAGGCTTTATAAATCTTGTAAAACTCATAATAATGTATGAAGTCAAATTGTTAGAAAGTTCCTCCTTTTAAGAAATTAAATCTGCTCTTACAAACCAAGTTTTATTGTTACTATTAACAGAATATTTAACAGGCACCTTCTACTGCTGAGAACCATTTCTGCCCTTTAGAGGCACAGAAGGTCTATTTCTTATCAACACAACAACCCTACAAATATTTCAGTTCAACTATGCCCCTTTATCAACGTTTCCTCTCTATGCCAAAAATACTTTTCTAACCATTCTTAATAATGACGATAGAAGTAAATAATAATAGTAACTAACCCTTCTGAACCTTTGCAGTGTGCCAGGACCTGTGCCACATGCTTTCTTTACACGCAGCCTACACTAAGAGACAGCAGGTCCACAAGTCACACAGTTCCTGGCTTTCTATGTTCACCGACCTAACTACACTCTGCTGAAATCACTCCTCTGTATCCATTTTCAACCTAATTCTCTTATAATGTATACATAACCAGCAAATAAATATGAGAAAATAGGTGCAACCTCATTAGAGATTTTTTTTTTAATGCACATGGCAACAACAGGATACCTGTTCTTGGTCTTTTATTCGGTGGTGTTTATGTGATCTGTCAGCAGGCAGGAACTGGGCACCATGGTACCCAGCTGGTGGGGCTCTATACCATGGCCAGTATCTTAGAAAGAAACCTGACAAACTGTATCAGGGCCTTCAAACTACTTACGGTCTTTTACAAATTAAAAATTGTCAGTGGCTCACGCCTTTAATCCCAGCACTTTGGGAGGCTGAGGCGGGCAAATCACAAGGTCAGAAGTTCAAGATCAGCCTGACAAACATGATGAAACCCTGTCTCTACTAAAAACACAAAAATTAGCCAAGCATGGTGACGCATACCTGTAATCCCAGCTACTCAGGAGGCTGAGGCAGGAGAATCGCTTGAACCCAGGAGGCGGAGTTGCAGTGAGCCAAGATCGCGCCAATGCACTCCAGCCTGGGCAACAGAGCAAGACTCTGTCTCAAAAAAAAAAAAAGGCTGTTGAGGGGAGAAGGGATATGAAAATAAATTTTATGCCTATTGCATATCCAGATCTATCCTTTAACCTACTAATTACACATATCTGGGAATCAACTACAAGGGAAAAAAAAAAACCTCTAAACACAGAAAAAGACTTTTGTCCAAAGACATTCATTAGCGAATACAAGATGGTAAATCACTAGAATCAACCTACATGTCCAATAGCAATGAGGCAGTTAAGTTCAGTGCATTCGTAAGATGGAATAAGATGCTATGACATAATGCCATGCAATTAGCAAGAACAGGAGACAAAGATGCATTCCAGGAGAGGTGTGTGCATCCACATGTTCATGCACATGAATACAGAAGGAACACTTCCAAACGTTAATCAACTATGTGCTCCTTTTAAAGTGACAGAATTAGTGGCAATCTATTCTCTCTGTTTTCCAAATGTTGGGGTAATGCTATGGGTTAATTAAATATTGGAAAGGAGATTCTGCATTTTAAAAATAAAAACATACTTGCTTTATGTTTCTGATTTATAGGCTCCTAGACAACAGGAATCATGCCCAGACCCCACTCTGCAAGTCATGCTGCTTGGAAAATGCTGTGGACAATATAAGCATTTCTGGTTTGTTTCTGCTTTGTTTCTCATCAAAAGACAGCCATGCGTACTCCCAGAGAACTGCAGGCTCTGCTCTTTCCCATCTCGCCCTCACCATAACTTCATCTACTCCCTAAGCTCAAAATTACAGTGGGCACATCACCTTTCCCATCCCATTCTGAGGGATGATGGGAAGGTGTGCTATAAAGAACAAGGCTATTCATGGGGAACATCAAATCGAAGTACAATATGACAAAAGACTCAACAAATCTGAGTCGGCTGATATTAAGATCTTAGGGTGGGAAAAGGAGAAAGCCTTTTTCTCCAAAGGACATAATGGGACATTTAACAGATTTTTTTTTTTAAAGGGCAAATGAACAAACAAAACACACCATTTGTGTCTCAAATGAAGTTGGTGAAGAATGCTGCCTCGGAGGAAGCAAATCAGACTTATTTCTCCCTAAATGGATCACAAATATTCTTGGTTTTCAAAATTATCTAGAGTCCTGGAGGCCAAATCAATAATATACCTACCCGCTCTCAAAGAAAGGAGATGGCCAGAGTGCAGCATAAATACCTTTGAGCATTTCCCACTTGAAAGGTAGGAGGGGACAGCTTAAGGTTGACAAATCTTTCCAAGAAATGATACTGCAATGAATGTGAGCTCTCCATTTACCTGGCACTCCAGGTAGAGCAGAAGACAACCCCAACCAGGAATATTCCAGTTTCACACGTGAGGGACCCAAGTACAAAAAGGTCCTACTACTGCACTTCATGAGAGAACAGTTCTGGTCTTCTGAAACAATGCTAATACACGCATGAAAAAGGCTCTTCCTATGGGAGAGTTAGGCCAAGCTAGCGGGTGAAGAGGGAAAGAAACAACAACACAACTTCAGGGTCCTCCCATTGTGCAGTCCAGGTCCCAAACAGAGAATATCAGAGCCAACAGATCACAAGGATCAGCACTGAGACCCAGAAGTCATCAAGGTAAAGAAGGCTTCTTTCCTCCTTTCCTGGGTGGGTTGTGTGTATGTCAGTTTTTCAGTGTTACTGAATCCATTAACACTGCATCTATGCTATTCCAATTATCTGGTTGGTTTGGAAACTCTCCAGATCCCTCTGAGACCACATCGCTCATCCAGATGTGCCATCTGCAGCACAGGTCCCAGAGCTGGCCCAGAGTCAAAGCATCACAGTATATCAAATGTGTCCATGGAGACATGATCCGAACTGAGGAAGCCTGTGGACAGACCTGCCAGCCTAGTGGGGCTCTCAATACCCAGTCCACAACAAAGGGAATTTTAATTAGAGACCTGCCCAGAAACAGATGCAGTCTTGAAAAACCTTTCAGGTTGTTATACATACATACAAACACATATATAAATATATGGTTTGCACACATACATATATATAAATATATGGTTTTGGTTTTGGTTTGTTTGTTTGTTTTTTGAGACAGGGTTTCACTCTGTCACCCAGGCTGAAGTGTAGTGGTGTAATCACGGCCTACTACAGCCTCGACATCCTGGGCCAAAGTGATCCTCCCACCTCAGCCTCCCAAAGTACTGGGAGTATAGGCGTGAGCCACCACACCAAGCCAGTTGTTATATCTTTGTAATTAGCACATGACAACAAAAATGTTTCTTACCTCTGTTTTTTCTGTAGATTCAAGTCTGTCTGGAAACCCATTTCCCTGGAAACCCATGCAGGAGAGATCAAAAATGGTTTTCTTCAGGTGCTGGTTGTCTGTATAAAGCTCCTTCACTAGCTGTATGAGGTCACTGACCTAGAAGGTAAGAATGGGGAGAGGACTGTATACCCAGCAGGAGGCTTCAGCTTCCCAGGGCCAAAGCCCCAGACAGCTCTATTAAGCGACTCTTTGACACCATAGTCATGGATAATCAGGCTGATTCTAGTGCTCAGGAAATCATGCACACAGCGAGAAAAACACTGGCTTTAACACCTGGCATAACGGTATTCTAATCCCAGAGTCATCATTTATTTCAAGGCAAAAAGATCCTGGGCAAGCTGCACAATCTAAGCTCCAGTTTCCTCATCTGTAGAGTTACGATAAGAACTGAACTGGACTGTGGTCACAGTGCATTAAAGTCCCGGCACAGTCTAAGTGCCCAGTCAATGACAGCTAATGGTATCTCTCCCTTGCACCTGAGACCTCTGGAAGAAGACTCTCCCAAGGCTAAAGTTTCTGAAACTGTATCGGAGTCTTATTTTTCACCAATGACCTCCTCCTTTGTACACCTATCTGGCAATGCTTCCAGATGTTCTTCGATGCATGACCCTGGCTGAGTTCCCAATTTTAACAAGTTTACCCTAAAGCAAAAACAAGGCCTTTTGGCTAAGCTAGTGCTACAATTATAATGCTTTCCTGAGTGGTGGCAGCTAAAGCATAACCTTGCCAGAAAAGAGTTAGTTAGGAAGAGAGTAGTTAAAACTGTAATATTAACAGTTGTCAATTCTAAAGCAATTTACGGCTACTAAAATATTCCTACAAGCTTTAGTCAATCACTCCTTGCAAAAATCCTGAGGAGGTGGACAGGCTAGTGTGTCTATTTCCATTTTACAATGAGGACATGAAATACAAAGATACTAACTGCCCGAAGTCCCACAGCTGGGTTGTCTGGAGAACTAAATGAGACAGAACAATGGCCAAATGTCTAACCATGTGGGAAAGAGCAGCTGCCTCCACACAGGCAGAGCCGGGCCCAGGTCTTGCAAGGCCAGACACATAAGGAATCGAGCAGACACCACCTTGGTTTCCTGCAGTCTTCATATCCCAAAGCCCAGTAATTTTCAAAGGCTTCTTGATGGAAGCGATTATTAGCTCTTCAAATAACATGGAAATTCCCACCCTGAGTACACATAGGAGATGTCCAGTACATCAAAATATGAACAAAAATTGGATCTAATCCTCAAGGAGGTTCTGGTAGGAAGAACAAGACATTCTGGTTCTACAAACATTTACTGAGTGCTAACCAAGCGAACTACCTCCTGCCCTTACCACAGCCCCAGTAGACACCAGCAGCAGCTGTTATCTTCTCTATTTTCGTCTTTAAAAACTAACAGCTGCCTCCTCCCAAAATACCCAAATTTGTATTATTCTTGCTATTTCTTAGCTCTGTGCCTTACACAGGCTGTTTTTTCTTTCTCTGCTAAGAAAGTGGAGACCTGGACAAACTCTGAATTTGTCCTTCAAAACCCACTTCAAATCTCACTTCTGTTAAGAAGCTTCCCCCGATCAAGTGAGTTCTCCCCCGTCCCATCTCCCATACAGGCAGTTAACCTCTCCTCTGCTACTTCTATACCTTGTACAGCTGCCCATACAGCAACCTTGTACCTCATATTGCAATTACTTGCTTAAATGCCTGCTCTCTTCTATCAGAATATAAATTATTCCAAGACAAAAACTGAATCTCAGTCACACATACATGATAATTTTATAACAAACCATATAGTTTCATACTTCCTATTCCTAACAATGGTTTTCAGAACCTTGAAACACTAAGCCGCTCTAACCATGCCACTGATCAACACATTGAAGACCTTTTCCAGGCCAGGCGTGGTGGCTCACGCCTGTAATCCCAGTACTTTGGGAGGCTGAGATGAGTGGATCATGAGGCCAGGAGTTCAAGACCAGCCTGGCAAACATGGTGAAACCCTGTCTCTACGAAAAATTAGGTGGGTGTGGTGGTGTGCGCCTGTAATCCCAGTTACTTGGGAGACTGAGGCAGGAGAATCACTTGAATCCAGGAGGCGGAGGCTGGAGTAAGCAGAGATCATCATGCCATTGCACTGGGTGACAGAGCAAGACTCTGTCTCAAAAAAAAAAGAAAAAAAAGAAAATCCTTTCCAGTTTAAAAAAAGATTTTCTGATCAAACCTGGAACTTTATTCATTCAAAATGCATCTATTATTACCTCCTATATGTGTGCCAGGCAATGGGAAATCAGAAATAAGTAAGACACAATCACTAAGTTTAAGATGTTCACAGCCTAGAAAGGAAATATAGACAAATAACCAGATAATTACAGACCAGTAAGAGAAGGACATTGATTTGGATTAGGTACAAGAAAAGAGGTGAACAACCTGAAGGAAATATGGCTAACTCTTAAACTGAGGGGCCAGAGAGCTTTTCCTCAAGGAGATCAAGGCTGGCTGGGTTCTTGGGCCTGAGGAGTTTATCAGACACGAGGAAAGGTACTCCAGGTAATGGACACAGGAGGGGCACACACAAGAGGGGACAGGAAGGAAGGAAGAAGGGTCTTCAAAATCTTAGCCTCTCATCTGGAACCAAAGATACAACAAACAAAAGAAAAGCAGTAAAAGTTAATAGGTCAATACCTTTTTCTTAAGTTCTTCTTGAGAAAAATGCTCCACTTGAAACCGGTTGTTTTCTTCAAGGCAAATACTTAGATAAGATGTTTGATCACTATAAAATGAAAACGATTCTTCTGCCCAAAAAAAAAAAAAAAAAGTGAGGATTGGGAAGAGAAAAAGAATATCAGAAACAGATCCTCCCAAGACTTATCCCTGTGCAATCCATCTGAAGCAATGTGAATGGGATGCTGGGTGGAAAGGAGTGTTAGTACACAGAGGGAGCTGAAGGCACCACCTTTGGAGAAAAGTAATTTTCCCTTTCTCAACAGGCTGATATTTCGATGTATAGTTTCATCTTAGGCTGTAGGTTTTCACTGTGGCCAACTGTGAATTATAATTTGCACATCAAGTATTGTGCCTGGAGACCATTCTGAATGGCACAAGAAAATGGTGATTTCAGTTTAAATGAGGGACTGATTTTATTTAAGGGAGAATGCAGAAAAATTAGATGTGACCCTCAAGGGTAGAACTCAAGGGAGATAAAAGTGTCTCATCTATTTTTATACAGGCCTCAGACCCCTCATGGGAAACAGCACACTAAGTGCAGAAAGTGCCTGCTAGTGCTAAGATAAAAGAATCTCTGGTCACCAATGTAAGGAGCTGCTTCCTTTGCAGCAAAGGTCAATTCTAACAGGAAGGGAAGAAGCGGGGGCAGGGAGAAGATATGTGTATTGAACAAAGTATATCCACAAACAGTACCTCATTTAACACACACATGTAAGAGCTGATATATCTAAAATACAGTACAGAATACGAGAAAGAGCTAAGCTTAAAAGAAGATACCCTGGCTCAAATCTGGGCACATCAACCCCCAGCTGAGCCTTAGTTTCTTCATCTGTAAAACAATGTTAATACCTACTCTACCTAATGAGATGACATTGAGGATCACAGATGAATAGTTAGGTGTCTAGCACTGTGCCTTGTACACCGCAGATGCTCAAGAAATGTTATTACCAATTTTTACCAAATGTGGGACTAGAGATACAGAAGGGAATCAGCTATTAACCCAGATTTTAAAGGGCTCAAGTTCTACCAGGGAAGAGGGTCAAATACTAATATTACTGTGATGAGTCCAGAAAACCTAAGTCCTACAGGACCCTCATCTTGTAGGGAAGGAGGGCCCTTAATGCATCTACAATGCTACAAACAGTGCTTCAACCTGAAATAGCATCTCACCCATGTGTGTGCAGTCTTGGGCTCTCTGCAGTAGGTGCTGTGGTGGCAGTACTCAGATGTTTTGGGCAGTGAAAAATCCCCCTTTTTCTGGGGATTGCAAAGGCCCAGGGATATTTGGAACTAGAAGTATCAAATGATGCAGAAAGTAGCAGAGGTACCGAGGAAGCAACGCTGCACCAGGCCGTCTGCAGAATTAGTACAACTTACTGGGCTCTTCTACTAGAAGGCCAACATCGGCATGGTCACCACAAAAAGGCTCTCCAGACGAAACCCTGTGTATGTTTCATCCCTCAACAAATATTTAGGACTCTCCTGAAGTTCAGTCCATGCGCTCCAAGTGGAAAAACCAAAGAGAAGTGCGTAGAAGAAAGTGTGTACCTTCCCGCCTCCGAATTTCGCCGATCTGCTCCTCCAAGGTCTTTCGCAAATTCTGATAAGACAGCACATCCCACTCCAGTTGCTTCCGCAGAACAAAAATGTTGTTTAACTCAGCCTGCAGGTTGTTGATACTTGGTAAAACAAGACACCAGAAGTTTTAAAACAGACCTATTTGTACTTTTAGATGCAAAGCCCAGAAAGCCTTCCTGTGATTTTTATGACATTTGTGTTTTTTTCTGGTTATAAAAGTAAATACAGGTTTACTATAGAAAACTTTAAATACAACAGTATAAAGAAAACAAAAATTACCATGTTCCTACTACCAATCTTCTCCCCTATGTGTAATTTACATGGCTGTAATAATACTAGACATACAATTCTGATGAGCATTCCTTGCGTCATAATTCCCTATAATTTTAGAAATTGTTTGCAAACATCATTTTTAATGACTATATAACATTAAACCAGGTGACTGTCCCACCATTTACTTTAACTCGTCCCCTATTAGTGGATACCTGGGTCATTTCCAAGTTTTTGCTATAGGTCTATCTAGGTGAAAATAATTTAATTCTCCAGTCCAGAATGTGTCTCTGTTCAGAACAATGCCCTGAAAGGGCTTGGGTATAGAAAGGGAGTCTCCCCAGGGCCCTGTGTTACTTGGGCACCGAGGCTTCAGAAGAAAGGGAGACAGAGGACTCCTCTTACGTTACTCCTCAAAAAAGTCATAATGGAAGTAAGGATGTGGGACAGATGGGAAGAGACAAAAAGGAAGAGTCAGTCAACAATAAGAGGGAGAAAAGGACTAATTTAGGGGCCAAAAAAAGTCTACTGTGATGGGTTAACCACTCAAAAATAAATAGAATGGATTTCTATTCTGGGAGAGGGAATGTAGTGCTGAGCTATATAGACAGCTTGCATGGACCGGAAGCCCAAAACCCAGAGAGGCCAAGAAAATGCACACCTCCCAGAACCTGCATTAATCGTGGGGAGCCCTCTCCAATAGAACTTTCTCCAGTGATGGAAATGTTCTATATCTGCACTGTCAACTACAGTAGCCCCTAGCTAAATGTGCCTTTTGAGCATTTGAAATGTGGCTAACATACCAAGGAACTGAATGTTTAATTTTATTAAATTAAAAGTAAGTTTAAATGTGAAAAGCCACATGGCTAGTGGCTACTGAACTCGACAGTGCAGATCCATAAGAAAGGCCTTGGACTCCTACTGATGTGCAATTGGCAGAGATCTGACCACTTAAATCCAGCTCTCAGAAGAACATGGAGACCCCAGCTGACATCTGAATAGCATAAATAATGTTTCACTGTGCATCTCTGTGCTTAAAGCCTTGTTTGACATCCAGGTTATTTTCTTAAGAAAGATTCCCAGCAATGCAATTACTGGGTCAAAGTATGTGAACATCTTTAAGACTACTGAACCACATTAACAAATCAGAAAGGCTCATTTTTTAGACAGCAAGAGAGCTATCATTCTCCATCCAGCACCTACAGTTCCCTAAAAAGGTCCATCAATGCCATGAAATTATCTTCAAAAAGGTATGAATATGTGGATTTTTCTAGAGAGAGGGCCTACAAGCTTTCATCAGTTTTTTCAAAAGGGATCAATACCCCCCAAATGGTTAGGAGCAATTGCTCCAGATATGTGTGCCAGACTCCTCAAAGAAGCCCTGCCTCTCCTTCAGAGACTTCCAGCTACATCCATTGAACTGCACACATAAATCAACACACATTGGAAGGAAAATAAACCATCATGTCTAATCTTCTATGCTTGCTGCTTTGAGGACAGTTCATTGTGAAGCAGTCTTCGTGCAAGGGAAAGGGCCCTACTAGCAACTTCTACCTAGTTCCATTTGAAGACAATCATAATGATCAATTTGTAAGGCTGATGAAAAACCTCACAGAGGTGTCACAGCACAGCACTCGCTTGGATGCAGTGGTACTGCAGAGGCATTTAACCAAGGGGAAAAAAGAGACTGTTTTAGCAGCGCTCCTGCAATTAGGGCTGGGGAAAGCTAACTGCTTCGCTCCCTCTTCCATTTTCTGACAGGGTGAAAAGTACAGAGCTGCTGCTCCTGTGTCTGTCATTTATGTTTTCCCAACTTGAGAAGCTTTCCAAGGTGTGAGGAGTTGGGAGAACAAAAGGTGCTTCACTCAGAAAAAAAACAAAAATCTTCTTCCTGGAATTGGGGCAGGGCAGACAGGAGCAAAAATGAGTCAGAGGGACCCAAGTTCAAAATAGCCCGCCACCACTACTGGGAAACCCAGTTCAACTACCTGAGTCCTGATTTCCTCATGCAAAATGTGGGTAAGAATACCTTTGCTTTGCGATTGTTTTGAAGAGTAAATAAGATGTTACATGGGAAAGACCTTAGGACAGGGCCTAATGCATGTGAGATGCTCTACAAACATCATTTCCTTCCTCACACGTACTCCAACAACTCCCCTGCAGAAGATAATATTTACGAGCCAAGACTGCTGATTTTCATGAGTTACAGCAATGATTCTCATCTGGAGATGTTGCCCCCACCCCGCAGGGGACATTTGGCCATGTCTGGAGACATTTTTCGTTCTTCAAACTGCATGGAAGAATCAGGTGTGCTGACCCTCCCATGATAGAAGCCAGGGATTGCTAAACATCTTACAAAGCACAGGACAGGCCCTCATGACAAAAAAAATTATCCAGCCCCCAAAAGCCTCATACTGCTGAGGCTGAGAAACCCTGAGTTACAGGGAAACTGTGCTAGTCCTCAAGACTGGGAGTGTATCGGCAAGAGCCAAGTCGACCCGAGCACTGATAATCCTTCATGCGGACACAGTGTCTTAGAATGCACATTTTCACTTCTGTAATTTGGGGATAATTCACCAACTTCTAAGTGTTGCTGTAAAGAATTAATAGTAAAAGTGAAAGGATCAGCCACATTCTTGCTCATGATGAGTTTCCTCCCTTCTTGCCCTCCATTTCCAATTTAATCACAGTACATCATCTGTCTCCAGGGTCATCCACCTTTTCTGCCAATTTGCAGAGTGAACAGTGCTAGAATTACAGAAGGGAGCTCCATCTTCCTTAGCCCACATACTGCCCTCTGGAAACGCCAAGGTCTGAGGATTCAAAAGGCCCCTGCGAAGTTTACGCATGATGGAATATTGAGACATATGTAAGCTTTTCATGTTGTTGTTATTCTTAAGAAATCTTACTAATTACTGAGTGCTTATTACATGCCAGGAAGTATTAAGTCTTTATTAAGACAGTGTCTTCTCTAGTTTCAACACAACCCTGTTAAGTAGGTAGGTAAGTAGGCAGACCAGCCAATCTTAATTTCACAAACACACTGAGGCTCAGGGTGAGGAACTACTTCCCCAAGAGCTCAGGGCTGCTGAGTGGCAGAGCTGAGAAGTGGACTCAGGTCTGTCTCCCTCTAAATGTATTACAAGTCTGAAGATGAACAGGAAATCTTTTAAGAATCCTTGTTAGTCATGGCCCTGACCTGCCTCACTCCCATCCAAGTTTTCATTCATTAAGAAAGAGCCTGTGAAACTTAAAGCCACTCATGAAGCTGAGAAGACTCAAGGGCAACCATATCCATCCACAGGGCCTCTCAGTGTCCAGAATCAACCTGGCTTCTACCCAGAGAAGCTGCACGATTGAAAAGAAATGTGTCCATTCCCTCCGTTAAGTTTCCACACATGACTCAAACCCCCACCGCCTCCTCTTCAGCAGCATGTTTTCGTTTTCCCTAAATTCATTTCCAATGAAAAACTCTAGAAATTATCTCATAATTTAGAAGATCACCATGGCGGGGAGGGGCATTCCTGAATAGAACATTCCTGCCTACTCTGTACCAGCCCCAGAAAGCAGAGACAGTAGGTATCAGGATCCCTGCCCTGAGGGAGCTCCCAAAACAGGTGAGGAGGCAGAGCAGGCACAGACCGTGACACAAGGTGACCTCCCAACACAGGGCAGAAACACAGAGAGGCAAGTGCTCTGGGGATTAGCTGGGTTGCCTGACAAGGGTAACATTCAATCTAAATTCTAAAGGACTAGGAGGAGACAAAGTAAGGGAAAGTTTGGGAATAGAGGTGTAGGAAACAGAGGTGAAGATACAGGCAGGAACACACAGCCCCAGGAACAATAAACAGCTCACTATGGTGAGGGCAGAGGGCATACGAGAGGGAAAAATGAGGGGTGATTCTTCTTTAACTTTTTATTACAGAAAATTTTAGACACATACAAAAGAAAAAAATAACTACTATAATAAAACTCACCCCCAACTACATGTACCCCAGCCCCAACAATCAGAGAGCCAGGGCCAATCTTGTTCCCCACCCACTTTCTCAGCTTCTGCACTGTCTGGAAATGAATTCCAGACATCATATCCTTTCAACTGTACCCATCCCACTGTGTAAAGAGATGATTTCTCAATGTGAGAACTCCCTGAGGCCAACCCTGCATGTACAGATATGTGAACAGAGGCCCAGAGCAGGACACTTGCCTGTGGACACAGTGCCAGAAAGTGGGAGAGCCAAGGCTAGAACAAGGCCTCTATCCTAGAGTTGGCTCTCCTCACCACACTTGCTGGCAGCAAATCATTTCAGCAACTCTGTAAAGATAGGGAGACTTATTTGAGTCCCAGGGTTCTGTCACTTGACATCTGTGTGACTTTGAACAAGTCACTTACCCTATCTTAGTTTTCACGACCTTACAGAAAACAGGGACAGCATTATTATTACTTCACAGAATGGCTGTGAGGATCATATGAGATAATACACATGGAAGCATTTTCTAAATATAGTATTTTTAAAACCTGAGTCATATTTTAATTTTGTTGCCAAAAATCAGACAATTCTTGACAACTCTTGATAGAAAACAGTTACATCTGACTATGAAATAGGGCAATCACCATCTAAGCTTTATAAGCTCCATAAGCAACCTGACACAACTTTGCTGCCTTAGAGATCACCAGCACTGACTGAAAGGAGTGTGTGTGTGTGTGTGTGTGTGTGTGTGTGTGTTTACATGTGTGATGTCCAGACAGAAAAAAACCCTTACCTGTCTGATTCCTGCAGAGATTTGACCAGATGGGTATAGATGTCCTGCTCTTTCTTTAAGACCTGAATCAGCTCTTCGTAGTCTGATGATTGTTTCTTTTCCTGGAAATGACAATGAGCATGTGACATTAAGGGAAGAATTTTGAAAGAGTACATCCTTATATTATGCAAACAGATGTAGCTAGTGCCGGATTTTAAAACCAAACGAAGGTGAGGCCCTGTGCCTAGCTCTGGCTCAGGCCACAGTCAGAGAGCACCACCTTCAGGGGGAGTGGGGAATGACTGCCCATCACTCACCCCAGAACAAAGCTGAGAGCTGAGCTTCCAACAGCTGCTAGTAAGACACATCAGTTACAGGATCAGCCCATCATGAGACTGTCACTCCTCAGAGTTGCTGGTCATCATTTTTACAACACTACAAAAAAATGTCTTTCCATACTCACTATTACTCCAAAGAAGAGAAATTCACAAACCAAAACCTGACAAGTACTGGGGACTAAGGACTTAGAGTCACATACAAGAGGTCAACTGAGGCATTCTTGGGAGGCATCCAGAACGAGGTGATGATGAAGAGACCTGAGTTGGATCTCTGCCACTTACTAGAGGTATGATCTTGGGTAAGTAGCTTAACAAACCTCTATGAGCTTCAATCTCCTCATTTATGAAATGGGGATGTCATTTTGTGAATTCACATCCACAAATGTGAAATGTTTTAAGGTCCAAAATTTGATTCTGTCACTTACCAGTTCTGAGACTCTGGGAAGTTACGTACTGGGAGCCTTGGTATTCTCACCTGTAAAAACTGTGGACAACTGCCACCACCTTATGGAGTTATGGAGCAGATAAAAGATAACCTGTGTACTGCAGATAACCAGAAATACCTGGAGAAATGGCTGATTCCCATATCAGGAAAAGGAAAATCAGGAACAATAAAAGATCTGTGTATAGCATTTTATTGTGCCAGAAAATAAGTGCTTATAGAACAGTGGTTGCCAGAGGCTGGAGGGATGAGGATACGGGAGACGTTGGTCAAAGGAAACAAAATTTGAGTTATACAAGATGAATAAATTCTGGAGATGTAATGTACAGCATGATGACTATATGTAATAATACCCTGGCCAGGAACAGTGGCTCACACCTATAATCCCAGCACTGTAGGAGGCCAAGATGGGAGAATCACTTGAGGCCAGGAGTTCAAGACCATCATGGGCAACACAGACCCCATCTCTACAAAAAAGTAAAAAATAAAAACATTCGCTGCGTATGGTGGCATGCACCTATAGTCCCAGCTACTTGGGAGGCTAAGGCAAGAGGATCCCTTGAAGCCAGAAGTTTGAGGCTGCAATGAGCTAGGATCATGCCAATGCACTGAAGCCTGGGCAACAGAGCAAGACCCTGAAATAACAAACAATCAAACAAAAAATACTGTATTTTATACTGGAAATGTACCAAGAGGGAAGATCTTAAGTTTCTTCATCACACACACACACACACACACACACACACAAGTAACAATGTGAGATGATAGATATGTCAATTAACTTGATTATGGTGATCATTTCACAATGTATATGTTTATCAAAACATCTAGTGTACCTTATATGTATCCAATTTTAATCTGTCAATTATAACTCAAAGCTGAAAAAAAAATTTTTAAGAAATGCTTGAATAATGATAGTATGTTGTCAAAAAGGACACACAGCCAGTTTGGAAAGGCTTCCACAAGCCAAATCTGGAATGATTTGAGCACTGAAATAAATAATGAGAGTAACGGTTTATACCCCACTGAGAGTAATAGATTGTAACCCACCAAATAAAATAGGAATTCATAAATCCATACTGATATGAATGGGAGGGAAAAAGATCAGGCTTTCCTTTATAGAAAAATGATGAATAATAAATGTAGAAAGAATGATGGAATTAGAAAAATCACCCCTTGCCAACTATCGCAGTAATAAAAAATTCAGTCAAGAAACACAAAAGAATGCTAAAAGTAGTAGGTAAAAGTTTGAAGATCAAGATATTTACACAGACTCAAAACACTTCTCCTAAAATACTTATTAAATACAAAGAGAAAAAGCATAACTAGACAGTCAAGACACCTGGCAGACACTATCTTCATAAAGTTATCAGAGTTAGCATAGCCAATACTGGGACAAATCCAATTGTGTATCACCAGACAGGACACAATGAGAAGACACAGCATCACTACCATGATATTCCTGCCAAAGATGCATAAACAACCTAATCAGCAAAAAAACCACCAGACAAACAACCCGAACTGAAGGGACATTCTGTAACATAACTGGCCTGGGCACTTCAAAAGTGTCTAAGTTATGAAAGTTAAGGGAAGATTTTGGAACTGTTCCAAACTAAAGACTGAACTATCAAGACTATTAAATGCAAGGCATTTCTAATAATCCTGAATAGGATCCTTTTGCTGCAAAGGATGTTACTGAGACAACTGATGAAATGCGAATGAGTCTGAGGATTAGAAGGTAGTGATGGAGAAAATTAGTACAGGTTAACTTCCTGGTGGTAGTGGCTGGGCTGAGGTTATACAGGAGAATGTTCCTGTTTATAAGAAATACACACTAGCATATTCAGAGGAGGCAAGGCTTCACATTGGCAGCTTTCTCTCAGAAGGCTCAGAAAAAATAAAATCCTTTATTTTTGTACTTTTCTACAAATTTAAAACTATTTCAAAATAAGAAAAAATGTTCAATTAAAGTTAATGCGTATAGAATACCCAACACAGGGCCTAGCACCAACTAGTGCTCTCTAAATGCTGGAAGGCAGATGTTCAGTTAGTGAAGAAACTGGGGCCACAAACAGCCTTTGTAGTTCACACTGACTTATGTTTTCTCCTAAAGCTAAGATACCACCTACAACAGGGGTTTTCAACCTGATTAAATTATAGGCTGAATGTATATGAGCAGAGGAAAAAAATTACATCTCTATTTCCACTAACCTCTAACTGAAATTTAGCATTACCTTCAATTATGAATTGAAGAAATATTGCTATTCCTACAAACCATAGTAATACTAGTGGTATTACCTTGACTTTGTCATCAAAAGAAACAGTTATTTTGTATATGTCGCAGATATCTCAAAATATTCATTTTTATCCCTACTTTATAACTATGGTAGTTACTTATACTCACCACGTCTTACTATTTAACATATTAATAAAGAAGCACCATTTTGCCGGGCGCGGTGGCTCATGCCTGCAATCCCAGCACTTTGGGAGGCCGAGGCGGGTGGATCACAAGGTCAACAGATCGAGACCATGCTAGTCAACACGGTGAAACCCCGTCTCTACTAAAAAGACAAAAAATTAGCTAGGCATAGTGGCACGTGCCTGTAATCCCAGCTACTCAGGAGGCTGAGGCAGGAGAACTGCCTGAACCCAGGAGGCGGAGGTTGCAGTGAGCCAAGATCGCACCATTGCACTCCAGCCTGGGTAACGAGCGAAACTCCGTCTCAAAAAAAAACAAAAACAAAAGCAAAAACAAAAAAACAAAACAAAAGAAGCACCATTTCCACAGCATAACTTTTTTATATTTTGATAACTTAATTTCAAAATATTTGGTTTCCTTTAGAATCCTACACATATATTTTATGCATTTAAACATTTTTTCAAGATAGGGGTCTCTGGCTTCAGTAGATTGCCAAAAGGATGCAGAGGGCAAAAAAGGTAAAGAATCCCTGACCTAGGGGAATACTGCTATACTTCCAAGCCTGACAAAACAAGGCCAAGGCACCACCTGCCAATTAAAGCTTTTAAATGCTAAACCACCAGTTTGGTCATGGTAAGTCAGTCATCCAGACTGCTGGAAATGTCAGGCCCTTTTGTAAATCATGCCACATGTCAACAGCACAAGGAGTTCCCAAATGCCATTTGTACATAACAACAGTATCATGTGGGATTCTCTCAGCTCCCACCTGCACAAAAACACATGCGCAGCCAGAGGACCTCAGAGAAGAGTGGGTAGGATTTAAAGAGGACATCAAAACCAAGGAGGCTCTCTAGGCCCAGTACATCAGCCACCAAGCTAAGTGCATTTCAGGCATTTTCTTTTTTTCTTCACCCCCGCTTTTTTTTGAGATGAAGTCTCACTCTGTCACCAGGCTGGAGTGCAGTGGTGCAATCTCAGCTCACTGCAACCTATGACCCCCTGGTCCAAGCGATTCTCCTGCCTCAGCTTCCCAAATAGCTTGGATTACAGGCACTCACCACCATGCCCAGCTAATTTTTGTATTTCTTTTAGTAGAGATAGGGTTTCACCGTGTTAGCCAGGACAATCTCAATCTCCTGACCTCGTGATCCGCCCACCTCGGCCTACCAAAGTGCTGGGATTACAGGTGTGAGGCACTGCGCCTGATCTCAAGGCAATTTCTTATTTAATCTTCACAAGGACCCAATGTGCTTATGTGTTACTATGCTCCCCATTTTAGAGATGAGAAAACTGTGGCATGGAAGGAAACTGCAGCACAGAAGTTCAAGATGGTGAAGCCAGGTGTGGGCTTCGAGGCCCATGCTCTTTAGCCCACTCATCACTGCCCCATAATAGATGCCTTAAATATAGTGCATCTGGGTGCTTGGCAAGGGTAACATCATCACTGTCAGCCATATAAAAGCCAGCCAAAGAAAACAGAAAAGCCAGTGACAAAATAAGAAGATCTATTGTTTCTTGAGCACCTAACATGAGGGGCAATGATGATTAAGAGTGTGTGACTTTAAGAACTGTGTAACCTTGAACAAGTTACTCAACCTCTCTATATGTCAATATTCTTAACTCTAAGTAGAGGTAATAATTCTCTATATACCTATGTCCTGGAGTGTTATAGAGATTAAATGAGTTAATCCAGACAAAGTTCTCACAATGATGCCTGGCTCAAAGCAAACACTTGATATATGTCAGCTGTTACTATTATTCTTAGGCTCCCGAGTGCTATACTAACTACTGACATACTATCTCTAGTTGCCATAGCATTCCAGGGAACTTCCCATTTTTCAGATGATGAAACTGACTCTGGGAGCAGAAGTAACTTGTTTGAGTCCACTTAGCTAGTAACTGGTAAAGGGAGAATTTGTGCTT